GTATTTTAAAAGTTCTCTTATCTATATAAGAAACTGTTGTGTATATATAAACTTCTCTTAATTCCTTTTGTAAAGAACATTCCTGTTTGTTATTCGCTCTAGACTTTAATTTTTTTCATTTCAAATCAAGGCGAGTGTAAAAATAGCTTCAGGTCAGTTATGGCCTATCTCAGTGGTCTGCATTGGAGGCTTTAAGTTCAGTATATGATAGCAATTAACCAAAAATCAATTTCAAACGCTCTTTATATAAGCTGTTTAGAAACTGTAATAGTCACGTAGTGGTGAACGAATCCGGCTGTAAACTAAAATATCTAGAAATAATGACAAACACCCATTATTTTTTAATACTTCGCCACGTTATGTCGTTCAACACCATAAAAGTGCTGTTGTTTATTGTGGAAATACCTGTGTGTTGCTGTTGTGCGAAATATATCTGTATTGTTTATTGCGTTTAGACCATTCTTGTTATTGTTGTGTGAAGAATGTCTCTTATTTTTTGTGTATAGAACACTTTCATTTTGTTTTGTTTGTATGAATCATTTCTGTTGTTTCAGGTGTAAAAATAATGTTTAATAAACAAAGTTGTTAGATATTCATACGTTTTTGTTTTTTATTGCAAGCTTGTTATTACTGAATCGAAATGTTCTTTAGGCAGTGAACATTGTTTGTTAATAGTCGCAGTACAATGTATGCAGTGCCATCTGGTGTTCAGATAGCTTAAATGAATGTAAATTTTATGCAATTAAATAGGAAATGTAAATAAATGAATACAGTCAAAATTTATAATTCTTTTAATTAATAAGAAAATAAGAATGAAATAATGAACATAACACTTAAAACATACCTTGAGCATGTTTCATTATAAATCTTACTATACTATTATGTTCTGAAATCATAAGATGCATAAAGTGGTTATTAAGTTTCGTAGTTAAGATTCATAACGTTTATGCAGAACAACTGTAGATCATATAATAATAATAATAACTGTTGTAATGATTATAATTACTAGACTAGGGGAAGAATTTGGTGTCAAAATATTATAAATTTACATCATTGTAATGAGTAAAAGAAAACTGAAGTCATCAAAAGTATCATCACTATAAGAAGCCTAGTCTATGTTTTCGGTTTGCCCTTGTGCGTGGTTACTGACGATGGGTGGAATTCCCCAAAACCGGTATAACTCAGTGACGAGTGGCGAATCGAGGGATAGATTGGACCTCATATTTATTTTTAGTATTTTAAGCAGCTTGTCTGTTGAATAATTTGGAATAAATTAGTAGCATCAGTGCTACGCATTCTTCAAATTCTATGTAAGTGTATTGTTTGTCAGTTTTGTTTACCGATTTCTTAATTTCTTCTTATTTTTGTAAAAGTATGTTTTTATCTAAATCATTTTTAAAAACTTTTATGTTCTAGCTCTTATACTTTCTAGGTTATACCTGCGATCCAAACTTTCTTCATGTATTAGTTGTGTGTGTGTAATGTAGGGGTTGGCTCGAATCTTGAATACTCGCACGACAAACATACTTGATCATGATTAAGTTATTCTGGAGTATCGTGTAACATACTCGGTCGTGATTAAATTATTCTGGAATATCGTGTAACATACTCGGTCGTGATTAAGTTATTCAGGAGTATCGTGTAACATACTTGATCATGATTAAGTTTTTCAGGAGTATCGTGTAACATACTCGATCGTGATTAAGTTATGTTCGAGTATCGTGTAACATACTCGATCGTGATTAAGTTATGTTCGAGTATCGTGTAACATACTCGATCGTGATTAAGTTATGTTCGAGTA